GATAACTTTATAAACAATTGGCACAGGTTGCTTGGCTTTCTGTGTTCGGTAATTAGAAAGGACCTCTTGAGATTTACTTTTAGGTATTTTATTTTATTTATCTTATTTTATTGGAAGCAAGTTTATTTAAAGAGACACATTCCATATGGATGACACAGTTCATCTCAGAAGGTAAGAGTGGCCTACTTTTTTTTTTTTTTTTTTTTTTAATACACAATGTATTTATTTATTTATTTATTTATGGCTGTGCTGGGTCTTCATTTCTGTGCATGGGCTTTCTCCAGTTGTGGCAAGTGGGGGTCACTCCTCATCGCGGTGCGCAGGCCTCTCACCATCGCGGCCTCTGTTGTTGCGGAGCACAGGCTCCAGACGCGCAGGCTCAGTAATTGTGTCTTACGGGCCCAGTTGCTCCATGGCATGTGGGATCTTCCCAGCCCAGGGCTCGAACCTGTGTCGTCTGCATTGGCAGGCAGACTCTCAACCACTGCGCCACCAGGGAAGCCCCAAGAGTGGCCTACTTTTAGGTATTTTAAAAGTAGGTTGATTACTAAACAAAATTCACGTTTAAATTATGTGTTGCGCATGTATGCAGAAACCTTGCCTCTCCAGTGCTCGGTACTCAGTCGCCTGCCGTGACTGCCGAGCCCTCACCCGGCCACACCCCACCCTCCTCTCCCCGGCCAAGTCATCTACGTTCCATGCAAGGCACTGACTCCTGCCATGCTGTCTGTGACCCTTCACAGATGAAAGTGTCTCAAGGGCACCTCAGAACCTGGCAGCACAGTGTTTGGCACGTAGCTCTCACTTAAGAAATGCTTGTTGAATTATATATACGTGTGTGTGTGTTCATATGTGTGTGTATGTGTGTATAAAGCATATACGGTACTTGAATTTTTTCTCCCCTCTTGGTCAGAGTCTTCATTAGGGAGAAAAAGGGAGAGGATAGAGATTCTCCTCATTGCCAGCAATGATTCAGGGCAGCAAATACTTTGCTTCTGTTTTTGTTTTGAAGTGTCCGAGGCCTCTTCCATATGCTAATCAAGTGTTCCAGTGACAAAACACCTTCCATTTAACTATTGTGTGTTGCACCACCCTGAGAAAACCAGCTTTTATGGGGACACCATATTAATGCAAATCAGACAATTAGAGGACAGCACTAGACAATATGTAATCAAGCGCCAAAATGCACACAAAAAGGAAAATGTTTGCTACTATGGTCATATTAAAAATTACACAAAACTAATTTATAAAACAGAAATAGACTCACAGACACAGAAAATAAACTTATGGTTACCAAAGGGGAAAGGGGGCAGGGAGGGATAAATTAGGAGATTGGGATTAACAGATATATACTACTATATATAAAATAGATAAACAACAAGGTCCTACTGTATAGCACAGGGAACTATATTCAATATCCTGTGATAAACCGGAATGGAAAAGAATATAAAAAATAATAAATAAGTAAATAAATATACAAATAATATATATATAAATAAATAAATAATATAAAAATAATATATATAAATAGCAAAAATATAAATATATATATATATATATATATGTAAAACTGAATCACCTGAAAGTGACACAACATTGTAAATCAACTATACTTCAATTAAAAATAAAAAGAGGGGCTTCCCTGGCGGTGCAGTGGTTCAGAATCTGCCTGCCAATGCAGGGGACATGGGTTTGAGCCCTGGTCTGGGAAGATCCCACATGCCACAGAGCAACTAAGCCTGCGAGCCACAACTATTGAAGCCCGTGTGCCTAGAGCCCGTGCTCCTCAACAAGAGAAGCCACCGCAGTGAGAAGCCCGCGCACCAAAACGAAGAGTAGCCCCCGCCCACAGCAACTAGAGGAAGCCCGCGCAGCAACGAAGACCCAACGCAGCCAAACATAAATAAATAAATTTATTGAAAAAGAAGAAAAAAATCACACAGGAATAACTTTAAAAATTTCCCTCTCAGTATATAATTTGCTCTTATTTCTAAGGAATTTTAAGGGCCTCTTGAAGTCAATCCATGTGATTGTGGTGAGATGGAAAGAACATTAACTGATAATTAGGAAATTTATGTTCTGAATTTGGCTTTTCTACACGTATGATTTTGAACGAGTCCCTTCTCTCTGGGCCTGTAAAATTAGGAGGTTGAACTTGATGATCTCAAAGGTCCCTTATGGCTACTAATGTCTGGTTCATGAAGCCTGGGAGTTCTGACACCCTAAAACTCTGCTGGAACCCAAGTGTGCTTCTGTCCCTGCCTTTGGTGCAACAGAGTCCAAGGCCTGGGAGCAGGGGTTGGTGAGCTGGATTTGCTGTGTCTTGCCCTGGTTCCCACCCCTCCTAGAAGAAGGCTGAGCATCTGCTCCGTGCTCTTCTCAGAGAACGCTGATGGCCCCAGCGGGCTAGAGGGTGTGATGTCCAGGGTTGATGGCTGCACCCGACTGTACCAGAGGAACTGGCAATCTGCCCTCTGTTTTCCAATTAGACCTGTGGATCCTTTGGTGAATAGTCCATGATTTGCAAATGGGGTTTGAAATAGGAGAGTTCTTATAAAATATTTTTATCCTGCAACTCCCTTCCTCCCCTCGGAAGACTCCAAGGTGCCCATCACCCCTTCACCTCAAACAGCACCCCCCAGGGTTTCTACCCACCCAGCCTGGACCCGAGCTCCGAACTCTTCGGATCGCTGGTGTTGACTCTGGCCACCAGAGGGCACTCTTGCAACGTGTAAACCAACAGTTCTCTTCGCGTTGGTGGAGCCTGGGTCGCATCTTTGCCAGAACATCTGGACTTGCTGAAGCCTCTCTTAAGTGATTCTCAACCAGGCACGGTTTCTTCCCCTGGGGGGAACATTTCACCAGGTCTAGAAGAGGAGGCTGGGGGAGGGTGCTACTCGTATCTAGAGGCCAGGGATATACTAAACATCCTGCAATGCATAGGATAGCTCCTCACAGCTAAGAATTTTGCAGCCGAAAATGGTAATAGTGCCGAAGTTGAGAAACTCTGCTCTCCTTGAATCTGTTGTCTAAAACGCAGAGTGCACCACCTGGAAATTTATGTCCTCTGAAGCTGAGCTTTCAGTCTCCTGGGTTCACCTACTCTAAAAAGAAATTTTAGAAAAGTGACCACAAAGCATTTTTCATTGCCTGAAATGGGGGGGGGGTCATAGCAACCACGAACTTCTGAAGAGGAGGAGGGGTCAGGCAGAGGACACATGGGGGTCCTTGTTATGGGACCCTGTTCCCGAGGCTGGCCTCTCTGAACAGGACCCAAACCCTATGACAGTGTGATCCAGTTCTTTGTGCCACAGCAGACAACACTAGCTCTTTGTCTCCCCAAACTGGACAGGATGATGGGAAAGCCCCAGGCTGGGTGTTCGTCCTTCTTGTAGGGCTGGGATGGGCCTGGGCCTGTGACTTTGGGAGCAGTTTTCACTATAGCTCCTAGGATCTCCTGGGAGCGACACTCTGAGGTCCCCTTTTTTGGCATCTGGGGTAAAGGAGGGAGACTGTGATGAAGCCCACTCACAGATCCTTTCTCCTGGCCTATACCCCGCTTGGAAGCCTGGGAGCTGGGTTCCTTGCTCATCTTAACCTTTCTGTGCGGTGAGGGCTTAGCCCTGCCTTACTCTGGGTCTCTCCTTCCCCAGTTCATCCATGAGAACATGCGCCTGCCCCAAAGGACTGAGAGGCAGTGGGTAGCAGAATGAATAGGGAGCTCTGAGAGAGGGATGCACCCCTACTCTTTGGATGAGGGCCAGGGACAAATGATGGACAAAGGGACCCTCTGTGCCTCCTTAGTTTCTGCTCTCCATCTTGGGAAGAAAGTGGAGACAAATCCTAAACCTGTAATTGGCAGCCTAGAGATAGGAGAGCAATATGGTTCCATTGCCTTGGCTCCTGGAACATTCTTCTCTTTTGGCCTTTCCTTGGCCGAGCAAAAGACCCCTCTCCATGTATCCCCTCCTCCCCCAGCCACCTGATGCTTCAGTTGGCTCCCCTTGTCATTCTTAGGACCTGGGGTGCAGAGGGAGAGGGACCCCTTCCAACTCCCTCCTTCATCCCCAGCCCTTAAAACTCTGCTCAGAGGTCCATGGCAGGGATCTGGGGGTCATTCTGTGAAGACCCATGCTCTGCTCTTAGGTTCCTTCCTTGAGGCTGGTTTCTCACTGGCCAGGGCAGCTCCTCGGGCTACAGCTTCAGCCTTTCTCTCTGGGACATGATGGCAGCAGAAGGGAAGAAAGTGGCTGGCTTGATTCCTACTCTTCCTTCCAACCCCCCTCCCCGCTTCCCATCAGGAATCCTGGGTGGTGTTTAACTCCATACCAGATCAGATGGCAGCAGGAACGCAGCAGGGGGTGGTCAGCCAAGAGGGAGGTTTGCCAAGGGCATTTTATTCATGGTCTGCAGTGGAGTGTTACAGAGCTGACGAGGCCCATCCCTCCTGACCCCACTTGCTTGGGTCTTGGGGAAAGGAGGGGACAGGAGCTCCCAATGTCGCAGAAATCAGAGGGATCGGAGAGAGCTGCATGGAGGGGCAGGAGAGAGAGGGGAGACCTTAGCCTGATGAGGCACAAGGGCCCCAGCGAAGAAAGGAGTTGCCCTGAGACTCGGAGAACAAAACAACTCCTGACCCTTGCCCAACTTTGACTCTTAATTTCCCGTCTCATGTGGACAGGTATAGGGTCTTTCAAATGATGGAAACCTATGAAAACCTTATTCTCTTTCTCCCTCAAAAAAAGTTGAGATTAAGAATGTCTCCTTAATCTGATTAGCAATTTGGTGGGAGGGGGCACTCTGCCTCAATTTTCCCCATCCCCACATTCGCTTTTTCCCTGCGATGCCCCCCATCTCCTTGGGTGCAACTCCGTTCCTTCAGATCGTTCTACAATTTAAAGCTGTTTCCAGCCAGGGGAAGGAGCAAAGCCAGAAGGGAGGTAGATAAGAGGTGAGATGGAGTTTGGGGGACACCTCCCACTTCACATCTTCCTCTCCCATTAAGGAGGATCCAAGGGCCACACTGCCTCGAAGTTCTCCAGATTGGGGGACACAGGACTTTCCTCTACCATGTAGGGTTCCTGCCTCTCTGAGGAGAAGCAGGGATCCATCGTGGAATCAGGCTTTACCTCCAGCCCCTCGGGCCTCAGGCTTGAGAGCCAGAGCCTCTCCCCAGCCCCCTGCGCCAGCCCGGCCAACAGAGGAAGGCCGGGAAAATGCCGGGCCCCTGGGGCCCCTGCGGGTCCTGGGAGCAGGGTGTCCGGCATGGAGGACCCTGGGAAGTGATGCCCTGCGGGGACAGGGGGCAAAAAAGGCCCTGAGAGGTGGGGCCAGTCAGAGGGGACAGGGGGTGGCAGGGGAGGCGTGAAGGAGGCAAAACTGGGAGGCTCGTCTTGGGGGCTCCCCAAATGGCAGCAAGGGCTGAGCCGGCAGGGGGCTGGGGCAGAGCCAAGTCCTAGAGAGGGAGAGAGAGAGAGAGAGAGAGAGAGAGAGAGAGAGAGAGAGAGAGAAAGGATCAGTGAGTCCCCACTGCTGGAGATGTCTCCTTTCTCTGCCCACTTCCCATTTCTTTTTTTTTTTTTTTTGCGGTATGCGGGCCTCTCACCGTTGTGGCCTCCCCTGTTGCGGCGCCCCAG